AAATAAGGTAAGGGAGGGGGGTTTAGCTTATTTAGGCCACAGGTGTGGCCTAAATAAGGTAAGGGAGGGGGGTTTAGCTTATTTAGGCCACCTGTGGCCTAAATAAGGTAAAGGAGGGGGGTTTAGCTTATTTAGGCCATATGTGGCCTAAATAAGGTCACCCTTAAAAAAAAACCCAAAAAAAACCCAACAACCCACCAAAAATCCCGGTGTCGCAATATTTTATTTTTAGATCGTTGTGACGTATATTAATAATTATTCATTTGGACAGCCGCGCGGTTCCGGCGAGATACACACACACGCACACACATTTACTGTAACAGTCAGTTCTACAGTTGAGTCTAGGAGTTCTGGTGGTTTCCGTTTCTGAGGCAGGCATGGCTTTAGCAAGATTCTTTATACTACTCGCCCTTTGCGGCATTTGTGTCAATGCCAGTGAGTATGCTCAATAACCCTATGTTGCACGACGCGGTAGAATCAGACGCTTGTCAATTTTTGGGAAGGTGAAATTATTGGTATCATCTGGAAGCTGTTTTGTCTGCCTTGCTTCCATTGAAATATATATATCCATTTATCTTGAATAGAAGTCAAGATATCTGCAATTGAAATTAGTCAGGTCCCCTGGTTTCAGTGGTGGAATTAGCGAGAAATTGGCCTCCAAAGTTTTGTTACTCCAAGAGCTAAAGAGTCTTTGAAAAAATGAAAAAATACAAGTTTTGTGCCTTTAATCAATGTTTTTACAAGTAAAATTCACATGGAAATGTGTTTACTATGAACATAAAAGAGGTTCAGCCAAAAAATAAACATTACCCAAAATATTTCCAAACTGGCGACAAAATTGATCATTCTCCGATTTCGTATCCTGACGAGCGCCTGATTTTACCGCACTGCCTCACCTATTGTTTCATCAAAAAGTGTTTGTAGTATGTCTGGGTTTGTTAATTAATTTTTTTTTAAAACAATTTTTTTAGGGGGAGGGGGTTATGGGCCTAGGAGGAGGGTGTTTTTACACCTCTATCAACACAGTTGGGATTATTCATCATCATCATTGCCTTTCTTACCCTGGATCAGGATATAGGCCCCGAACAAACACGTTCCACCTTTCCCTATCCCGGGCTAGTCGCTTGATGTCTCTCCATGTCTTCCCACTTTCCTGTACATCAATTTCCGTGACTTTACTCGAGATTCCACGAGGTCTTCCTCTTGATCTTTTACCCTGTGGGTTCCAATCTAGCCCTTTTCTTGTTATGCATCTGCTTGACTTCCTGAAAGTGTGTCCAATCCATCCCCAAAGCCTTCTTCCCACCTCCTAACTGACTGGCCTCTGTCTCGTTTTCTTAATACTTCCTCGTTGGTGATCCTGTCTGTCCTTCTGATCCTCAGTAGCTTCCTCAGACACATGTTCAAGAAAACCTGGATCCTCTTAATGCATGTCTGAGATGAGTTCTACGTCTCACATCCATACTACAAGACTGACATCACATTTGAGTTGAAAATTCTCAGCTTTGTCCGTAGTGAGATATCCCTGGTTCCTTCTAGTATATAAACGAAAATTCGTGTGGGTCCATTCTTATTGGTTCCTCGGTTCTGCTTAGAAAAGAATACAGAAACATAAAAATATTGCTGGATTAGATTGATTTGAGAACACGGACTAAAACTAGATCTAGATCTAAAAAGCTTTGTGTTGACCTGAATATGTTCAACTTTTTACTTAAAAACTACAGGATGACTAAACAAAGTATCCTTGATCTCTTTGTCTGTGGGATGGTCAAAGGAAAAACACTGGAAACAATAGATTTGACGAGTGAGGACCTCTAACAGTTGGAGAGAAGAGTATCGTCACTGAACCACTTGTGTTGAGGGGTGATGGGTGATGGGTGGGGGGG